TTCAAAATCTGAACTCAGCCTAGATAAGGTTGTATTCAACCAAGTTATCCCAAGTCTGTTTATGCAATTGAACTTCTTTCTATACACATAGCCCAAGCACCCCCAAATCTGCTCTGAAGAGTTAGAAAAACTGCCAGAACAGATTTGTCGTGGCACACAGTGGAGGAAAATTTCCGCTCTACAAGCACATAACAGGACAAAATTGTTGGACACTATACACTTAAAGAGGCTTCATACCTCCTTTCCCTGTATTCTTTTTAAAACTTCTGCTGAAGACGGGATGTGAACTGGAGGTATCAAGAAGAGAGGTATTCAAAGTTCTTTACGGTTTCTTCAAGAACACTTGTTGACTGAACACCAGCTGCAGACCTGACCTTCTGCATGAGTAAGAGGGATCAGAAAGGCTGCCAAACATGCCAGGGGGAGGAAGGGCAGAGACTTTTGTAAAATACACATGTGCCAAGTATACACACTATCAAAGTTTGAGATAATCTATCTGAGAAAGCTGCTACTGTTTATTTCCATGTTTGTCTCCACTGAAGCTTTTGAACAATTTTTACAAAAGACATACATGTTGCTATGCCAAGGTTATAGAAAATTTGGGGGCTACTTCCTACAGATCTTTTCAGAAAAAAATTCTCCTGAATGTCCAGTTCTGACAGAGAATATATATGTTTCCGCTTGAAAACGATGCCAAAAGTCCTCCCCGCCACTAGAAATATTGGTGGAAAATACCCACAAAGGGTTCCAGAAGAGTCAAGGCCAGAGCTGTACAGTATCTGCCTCACTGATCCCAAATGAACAAGAGCAAATACATATTAGGTTAAGTCCGTGAAAAGGAAAATTCCAATCATAATTTTAAATTCTGTTTTGCAGGATGGGGGGCTTTGTTATCTCTTGCCTTTATTTATATATTTGAATTGTACTCCTAATTTATTAAAGCTATCATTTAATCTTCCAATTCAGTTGAAGTTTCTCCAGAAAATATTGCATACAAAAAATGAAAACAAAAATCCTATAGAACAAAGTTCCAAGAATACTGTATATGTAAGAGACTGAGCTCATACTTCACTATCAATTTAAGAAAATCATTTAAGGTTAAAATAGAAGCCAGTTAAAAACAGCATTTTCTCTAAAATAAGCTTACTAAAGCTTGCTTGGTGGCAAGCTCCATTGAGTTCAATGGAAATTACTTCTTAGTAGACATGCTTAACGCATAGAATTTTGTTCACACACACACACACACACACACACAGCACACTTTAAATAAATAAATACACACAATTGCTTTATAAATTGAATAGCTTTTATGTAGTGGGATGGATCCAGACTCAGTGCAATCCGTTGCATATTTTCTCAGAAGCAAGCATTAGTTTGCTGAGTGAAGCTTACTCCCAGATAAATGTGCACAGGACTGCAGCCTATTAGTTCAACATGGGTCTTAACATCCTATTGTTTTCAGGTTAAACGAAGGCTGCAATCTTATACCGGCTTAGTTAGAAGTAAGCCCCCTTAAATTGAATGGTGTTTACATCAGAGTAGACTCCATAATTACTTGGGATTCAATCTAATATTTGTAATTGGTTAAAAAAAATACAATTCAAATGGCTATTTTTATACTGAATACTCAGAACCAAAAGCATACCAAGTTTGGCTCCAATTTCTGTTCAGAAACCTGTCTCCACTGTGGAAGGTTGTGCGGATCCAGAATTGGCCTCCACAGTCACCTACGGACACACTTGTTAAGACCATATTCATGGAAGACAATCTTACTCGGCTACGAGTGATCGCCAAAGAAAGAAGATATATACATTATGCGGCAGTAGCATTAGTCATGATGCGCAGGTTAAACATCTTGCTTCTGTGACAGTGCCATTCTGTACTCATTTTAGATTTGTTTGGTTTTTTAAAAAAAAAATGAACACAGATGTCAATGAAACTTCATCCTACCTGGATATGGGCTTCTAGTAATAATCTCACATAAATGAACTCTGAACATATCTTTGCCGATCTCCAGTTGAAGCGTGATATTTGGCTTGCTCAGCATCATCTTTATTAAATATTTAATCCCCGTGTACTCATAACACAAGGGGAGACAAACAAAAGGAATTCAACAAGTTGCTATTCACATAAAAATATACTTTTTCCTTTCTTTAAAAAATGCATACATGACTAAAATTTGTGGCAATACTTTCAGCAGACAATTGCTGGAAACAAAAGGTTCTTCTAACCTAAGAAAAGCCCTTCCCTCCACTTCCTACAGGCTCCCATAAACCAATAGAAAAGCAGCTTTATATTTATTAAGTTAATTTACATAACTTTGCTGCTGTTTATAAATAAAACAAAAATCAATGATTTTGAGAATCTACACTATTATTGAAGCTTTATCTCTGTGTACCTTTGAATATGAAAAGGTATACACATGACTAAATGTAGAATATTTTGGACGGTATTGATATTTACCCATACAATCAACTGACCTATAAAAATACAGACATTATCTGCAGTTTTCTACAAATACGTATAGATTCCATTAGAATGCTCCAAGCCCTAATATTACTAGCTATCTTTTACACTCTTTGAGCTTGACATAACCGCCAAATACCAATAATAACAGAGGGTGGGAAACAAACTTTCTGCCTCCTGTTCTACAAAACTATCAAATTGCCAGAATGTTTTCTTAGTTTTTGTTAATGTGAATACAATTTAATAAATCCAGAAGTAAAAATGTTAACTGTTTCATGATTAGCAAGCGACTAAACAGCAATTGTAATTACTTCACAGATACTCATTTACTGCACAAACCTTTCTACAATATTTTGAGAAGGGGGTGGGGATTATACCACAATCATAAAACCTAAAGGCACAGTATATGTGAATATGCTTGCTTTAAGTTCAACATCTCACATACTTCTTAAATTTTCTGTTTAAGTTTGCCAATTTTGGCAAAAATGTTTATTAAAAGCCTTAAAATCTTCAATCTTTTTTTTCCAAAAAGAAAGAACTGGCGCCCCTTAGTGTTCAAATATTAAAACATTTAGATCATTCATTTAATTTGCATGGAACATTTTTTCAACATTCCAGAAAGTTTTCAGCATTTGCAGTTCTTCCACCCAGGAGCCAACACAAACAGGAAAAGGCAGAAAGAATTAAAGGGGCAGCTGAACTTTTGCCTTGAGCTATCCAGAAAGTGATGGGGAGGGGAAGAGGGGAGAAAAATAAGGGAGGGACAAGAAACCGCTTGATTGTTGAATTAGATAACTTTCAGATCTTGTTTTGGACTTGCACAAAACAGGGGAGGGGAGATGCCAGTTCAAAGGCTTCCGAAGTTCCAAGGTTATACCACACTCAAAAGATTCAGTGACCTCACATATTCTTCTTGAAATATCCTTTTGACACCAGAGATGTTCTGCTCTTTTGTTCTTGTGACAAAGTCGCTGTGCCTCCCTTTTCCAGATCAAACTGATGATTCAGTAACTTTTTCAATCCATTGTTATAACTGTGCTCAATTTAGTTACTTTAGAAGCTACTGCTCAAATTCGTATCTTAATTTCATACTACGGAATCTTCCTGAAAAAATGTTAACAATCTGAAGCTACTTACTAAATAGCATCCTTTCAATGTCTGTCTCATTTATAGTAGTGTTATCCCAACAAGAGTCAGAAATAAAATTCCAGTTTGTAAATCAACATCCCACAACTATTTACATCAAACAAATGCTTAACAGCGTTTCCAATTCAAGTGCAGACAAACCCTTCAAAGGCCATTTTAAACTATGCATAAACTTTTCTCAATTGGAAAAATAAAATACCCAAAACCATGACTGAAATTAGATGTCAACATCTTTCATATCTAACTACTGAAGTTTTAAACTACCCCCATAAAATTCACAGGACGCCAAAACTCATGATTTCTCGGGACAGGGTTTTGATTTGAGGAGAAGGAATCAGGTTCAGATCCAAGTGAAGTCAACACGTGATTAAAAAATAAGACAAGAGAGCACTGTTTTGCAAAGCCTTTGGGTGTAATCCTCAAGCCATTTGAAAGCATACAATTAGGATTTTTTAAACAAAAAAACCAAAAAACTTTGAAGTGTGCTAAGAGTTACACCACAGATTACAGTAAAAACTTAGGTCTTAATTCCACAAAAGTGACTTTACAGACTGGGAGTGGGAACAGGAGGATTAGGAGTATGGCCTGGAACGTGCGGTGGGTATTTAACAACGCCACTGGCGTTTTGTTCTTGACACTCGAGTCGCTTATTCTCCAGTGTAAACTCTTCCAAGGCAAAGCCTAGTAAAGTTTGGTCTGTTTACTCACAAACTTGAAGCACAAACTCCTTTTTTGTGACGGAGAAACCACCCAACAGGGGAGGAGAGAGCTAAGCCCTCCAGTCTCAGCAATGGGTTTGCACCACCTCCCTCCCAGGCAAATCTCGACAACAAGAGCGCCCCGTTCCTCATTTCTTCGGGCTGCAAACTCGTTCACAAGTACTTCTATGAATCATGCCACCCGGCCTACTTCGCCTTCGTACTTTTTTTTCTACCGTAATCCTCAGAACTCTCTTTTCCCACCCTTTCCAAAATAAAACCACCTCCCGGGCCTCTTTCGCTCCCCTCCCCCCTTCTTTCCCCCCTCAATGAGGCGGCGACGTTTCCCCCTCGGTTAAAAACGCAGCTACGCAGAAAAAATGAGGGAACGCAACAAAGCCACACTTTATTCCCTCCCCGAGCGCCTCGTCCCCAAAGGCCGAAACTTCTGCGAAGGGACTTCCCGCTTCTCTCCCCTTTGTTTACGGGGGAAGGAAAGGCCGAAAGACGCCATTGAAAGGGAGGAGAGTCTACCCCCCGTTTCGGGACGGGAGAGGGAAGGGCAAAGGGGATCCCGTATAGGGTGTAGAGGCCCAATAGAGAAACAACCGGTTTTCCCCTCACAGCCACGGCTAAAAAGAGAGAGCTGCTCTTGATTTTTCGGGGGTGGGGGTGGGGAGGTGCATTTACCTTCGTCCAACAGCCTCTCGAGGTGGTTGAATATCCCGCAGAAGTTGGGGAGGCTGCTCATGAGCTTCTTGTCGTTCATCAGCTGCATCAGGTAATCGGGGCTCGGTTTGGGCTTCTCCTTGGTTTCCATTTCCCCAACCATATTCCAAGCGCAGGGAGAGAGCGAGCGAGCGCCCGCACCAGCACTCGTCCAACCACCGCACTGGGCGCCCGCCAGGCGGGGAAAGAGACGGGGTGTGTGTTATGTGGGCTTGAAGCGCGAGGGGGGGAGGAGGCCTTTCCCCCCCTAAAACCGGGGGGGGGTGAGAAGGAGGAAAACGAGGGAGCGGGGGAAAGGGGGGCGCCGTCAACGAAGAAGCCACCAAAGCACACGCCGCTGGGTCCCGGGCGAGACAGAGAGAGGAGGAAAAAAATAAGAGGGGGAAACTCGGTGACCCCCCCCAACCCCTCCGCCTCCACCACGGAGGGCTGCGCCCTAGTCTTCCTCCGCCGCCGCCGTTTCTCCCTGTTTCCAGTCGCCGCTCCCGCGGGAAGCCTTTCCCCACAGCGCCGTGCGCCCGCGGCCGGCGCAGTCTCCGGTGTTTCCCTCGCCGCCGCCGCCCGCTTCGCCTCCTCTCACCCGCCGCCGCCGCCGCACACGCAGACGTTGGCCGCGGTTCCTTCTCCTCGGCGCGGCTGCCGCTGCTGCTGCTGCCCCCTGGTCTGTCTCCGCGGCGGGGAAGGGAGGGAGGGAGGCGGGCAGGCAAACGGGGGGCGGGCTTGGCTACTGTTTCGCGAGGAGTCCTCTCCGCCGCCGCCGCTTGTAAGGCTGTTCCCGGCCACCGGTGGTGCTGCTTCTGCTGCTGGTGGTGGTGATGATGCCGCCGCCTCGCCTCCCGCTCCGCCTGCCTCCCTCCCCTCCCGCTGGTGCCGTTTGCTTGTGGCTGGCGAGTCTCTGTCCTGCCGCCGCCGCCGCGGTGCCTCCTCCTCTTCTTCCTTCGCCTTTCTCCTCCTCAGTTCGCTCCGGAGTTCGCTTCAGTTCAGCGCTGGCGGCGGCAGTAGCAGGCAAGCAACGGCGGCGGCGGGAAGGGGAGGGCGCGGGGGAGGGGCGGCAGCAGCGAAGGAGGCAGGGGCGGGGCGGCCGTTAATCAGCGAGCGGCGGCGGCAGCGGCAGCGCCACTTGGCGGACTCAGGCCGCCCCGCCCCTACTGAGAGACTTGGGGACTCGCCTGACGAAGAACAGAGCGGAACTCGGCGGGGATGGGGGACGGGGGGGGAGCTCCAAGTACCGCGCGCCAAAAAGAACGCGGCGGCGCTGCGCACACGGATATATACACACACAACGCAATACTGTATATGTGTCTGCTTCGGTGTGACGAGGGCGCGCGCGCGCACGAGCAATCTCGTGCCGCCGCCTTAAGACTACTTTTACGTTCGACATGTATATGAGGGAAGGGAAGGCAAGGTGTTGTTGCTTTTGGCGCGCGTGCGCGTTATCATTGGCTGGCGCCTCCCCCCACCACCACCGCCGAATTTCTACGAAAAATCGTCTGAGCGCACGAGATTAGAAACTCCTTAAAGAAACTCTTGTTACTTCACCGATCTTACGTTGGGGCGGGGCCCTGTCACGTGCCGGTGGCGGGGGGAAGTCCTGGTTGTGTCGCGGTTCTAACTAAGACGCATGCGCCTAGAGGGATACGGATACGCGCGCTCCCTCGCGCGCGCTTTCAATTGTGCCGCGGCCCTGCCCCTCTCCCTGTTTCTCCCCAAGCGTTGGAATGGAATGGGAGGGGCGAGGCTGAATGGAGCCCCGTGCGCCTGCGCAGAGCGAGAAACCAGAGTAATTTTGTTCTATCCCCTTGAAGCGGCATGGGGGAAGAGCGGTTTTTCCGTGGGGGAAAGGAGCTCGAGGCACACGCGCCCGTTGGCGAACTCTCCTTTGCTCGGCTCGCGTTCACTCTCCACCGACGCTGAGATATGTAGTGTGCACGTGTCGCCCGCTGGCTCTCCGGACGCGCGGAGCTGCGTCCTTTTACCACAGGATCGCAGCACAGCCGAGCCAGCCGCTCGTGGCAGCGCGATGCTCGGCCGTTGGCGCGCCTCGCGGCCAACTCAGCCCTCCCGCGCGCTGCTCGCGGGCGCCTCACGCGGGGACTTTCCCCGCACGAGACTGCCTTTTGCTCCCGGGCCTGCTGGCCTCTGCCTGGCGGGATCCCTCCCCTCAGGAGCACCTTTCCTTCCCCTCGGAGGCGCCGGTGGAGCAGCAGAGTGGCGCTGTTTTAACGACCACACGGGGCGAGCATCCTTGTGAATGAGGCGGAGGCAGGAACCTGCGTGTGGCTCGCCTGCCCCCACACCCACCCAGAGGGCCTCGGCTCCCCCCCTCCATGGGCGCTCTCCCTTGGGGGCAAGCCCGTGCGGAATGACGCGGGGGTCGCTCCCAAGCCCAGCACGCACGGGCTTTCTCTTGGTGTCCCTGAAGTCTGGCGTGCACGGCGGCCGCCGCACAAAAACAGAAGCCGACCGCGGCCCCGTTGTCTGCATCCCTTAAAAGGGGTGGGGAGTCGCGCTGGGTAGGCGCGGACCGTTGCTTTTCCATCCAGGACCGCCCTCTCTCTCCAAGCGCAGAAGCCCGTCCTCGCCTTCCTCCCGGCTCTTGCATGCTCGACCAAGGAGGCAACTTGGCATACGAAACGAAGCCCGTCACCTGCTGCTCCTCCCCCCCCCCCCACGAGGTTTTCAGTGCTTAAACCTCTCCTAAGCACCCGCCGCCTCTTTCAGCCAAGGACGGGTGTTACCTGAACCTGCAACTGTCATTGTGGTCCGCGGAATTTGCAAGCCTCCAGACCGCCCTCCCTCACCCACCCAAACGGGCTGCACGGATTCTCCCTTCTCTTCCCCCACCCGCTTCTCTTTCTCAGGGTTTCCAACGCGTACCGCAGCCGCATCGACGCCACAAGTTCTCTCTCCTTTTAAATTCACCCCTATTTACATCAAATTTACGTAAATGTGAATATAAGCAGTATTTCAGAGGGCAGACATTGTCTTTCGTTGTTCCAAGGTGGACGCCTTTTTTGCTGCTTGCTCAGCCGCAACACACGTGAAACAGATCATACAGAAGTAACCGGATTCCTTTTCTTTTCTCAGTCGTCACACCCACATACCTCTGTATGATCATGTATTACTTTTTTCGGTGTTAACATTAATGTTGGTTCCCTCCTTATACAGTGATGTTCCACCTCCCCCCAAAAAATGCCTTAAAAATAGAATCAATCCCATACACACTTTCATGGAAGTGTTTATTTACTTCTCTGAAGCATTCTGAGAAAATGTACACAGGATCAGACTACAAGACAGATTTCTATTCTAGGTGAGGCATATTTCCTGAAAATTATTCAAATAGATTTGCCAAGCACGTGTCCCCTATTTATTCAAAAGCATGTTGCACTTTGTTCAACAAGTCTTGCCTTACAGAAGTGTGCTCAGGTTTAGAGTGTTACTCAGAAATTCCTACTAAAAATTGATGTGTAAAACACATTAAGGTAAATATGAGAGAAGTTCTTGTTTGTTTATGCAGTTCTCCATATTTAAACAAAGGGATATTGATAATATTTATTACGTGGCAGAGCTATTTTAAAGAACTGCATTTATACAGTATTATCCTTATGAATGCATCCAATTATTTTGTGAATCAAAATATTATGGTACTTCCCCCAAGAACTGATGTGAGTACTAGTGCTTTACAGGGCTAATGTCAAATTCAATCAAACATCTGCCCTGAAATTTAGAGGGAAGTTGTGCATATGGAATATTATTTGTTTTCAAGTGTAAGGTACTCTTTTTTCATTCTTTTTGCATCTGTGCTTAATATATATGATAGAAAAACAAACTTTACAAATGTATAGGCTAAGCTTTTAAAATGTTTTCTTTCAAAGTGGCTTCTTTTCAGATCTAGAAAAACAGTACCTCATAGCCCCATCCTAAACATGCTTGCTTAGAGGTATGTTAGAGGTAGCCAGAGATAAGCACTTTAACAAAATCACATGTTAAAACATGTACTACAGGGCCAAACTAGATGTGACAGTAGCAGCCACATCTGGCTATTCATGTCTGCCCCATTTTCATCTAAAACCACGAGGGTCCACTTTTTACAATGAGAGGGACCCGTGGGTGAAAATAACATCCCTACGATTGCTTACCATCACCACCACCCACTCACTCTCCATCACTTCAAACATTGTTTCTTTCCATCATTTCTCACATGTTTTGTGATTGCAGCCAGGCTGGGATAAAAATGTATGTGGCAACAGAGTAAGATGGAGCATTCAGCTCAACTTTTGTTGTAAAACCCACTTTGCATACCCTGTTTTCAGACATGACCCGTTAGCATGGTGGATCCCATCATGTCTAGTTTGGCCCTTTTTGTTTGTAGCTTTAGAAGTATGTGAAGAGGCCTGAAGCACCAAACAGAAAGTCTTTGAACTGATCCTTCAGAATTCAGCTGATTTAATACAGCTGGGATAGCTCAGCTAGTACAGCATGAGACTCTAAACCTCAGGGTCATGGGATCAAACCCTACACTGGGAAAAGGATTCCTGCATTGCAGAGGGTTGGACTAGATGACCCTTGTGGCCCCTTCCAACTCTACCATTCTATGATTAGTGTGATCAATGATCATTGTTTAGGTTAAAGACCTCTGTCTGTGCCTTGAAACACACAAGTACTTCTGCAGGCAATCTAAAAGGCATTTGTTTAATCTAGAGTTCTGTTCTTTTTACCCCTCTGTTGCTTTGTTTATGGATCCAATGGCATATTCTTTCACTCTCCTCCATGTGGCTACCCCTCATTTACACATGTGCACAACTTGCCTGCTCTCATGTTCTTTTCAGGAAGATCCTGATGCTTTCATGAGTCTTGTTTAATATTGTCACTAGGCAACTGCTCAAATTGCCATGGGATTAGTCTGTTCTTCCCATTGAAATGGCAACAAAGGGGAGACATAATTCTCCATGTGACCTTGTCGCATCAAATCTGGTGATCACACATTCCCTGGGTGTGACCCAATCTCATAGCTTTGTTTTGCTAGCTTCCTTCCTTTTCCTACCCTAAAATAGAAAATGGCTCCGGTTTGTAATAATCTTTGCAGAATTTGCCAGCTAGCTGAGGCATTAATAGTGGCAAAGTGCAGGTGCCTTGAGGGCCACATTCTGCACCTACCTAGTCTATCATATTCTGTCTTCTTTTAAGTGCGTCTCAAGAGTGCTTTCTTCACTGTTGCAACTCACACAGGGTCACACACAAAAAATAAAAAAGGAACTGTGAGCATTTTCTGGCTTCATTTTGATCATTTCATCTGCCAAAAGTCTATTGACACTCTTCAAACATTCCTCTGACTTACTACAAGTGCTGACCTGATTTTCAGCTTTGTTCCACATTTGGATGGTCAAATTTTTAGCAAAGTGGCAACTCACTTCACACAGGTCGCCAAATAAATCACCTGCTAGTATTCTTTACAGAAATGTTTATTGTTACTGTGTGGAGACTTAAATATAAAAAAAATTATTCTATAGAAAAAAGATAGTGGCTGTTCTGTTTTTGGATGGGAAAAGGGAATACAATATATTGCTCATGTAACAGAAGAACCAGCTTCTAGAGTTCAAATTTAAAATGAGTGTGTGTTGTGAGGTCCTTCCTGTTTGTTTGCTTTAAGCAAGGTTTTCGTTTGTTGTTTGAATGTATGCCTTTCACATGGTCATCTGTTCACTTACAGAATTAGGAAATTGTTTTAGAAATCCAGTCTCCTGTGTGATAGTAATAAATGTAATTTTATACCACCCACCCCCACCAATTGATGCTTGGGTATATCACAAAATACAATTATCAAATACAGTGAAAAGCCCATTTCTACTTGTTTATTTAAAAAATCTTTGTACCTTATAACAACCTTCAGTTTTATAGTCTCTACCTGATGCAAAAAAAAAATGAGTGTTTTCACTAGTTAGACTCTATGGCAATAAAGTTCCACAATTCAGGGTATCTTCTCCACAGGCACTTGCTTCAGATGACAGAAGCACCTGAAAAAGATAGTAATATGCAGACAGGTTAATGCTCCCTCAGGTGCCCAGGTTCCCACACCATGTATGGTGTTAAAGTTTAGCATCAGTGCTTGAATAGTGTTTGGAGATGAATCTGAAGCCAGAGGAGGCAAGTTATATTCCTAATGTTCAGTTCCATTTTTGTTGCCTAGCTGCTGTATTCTGAATGGTGCCATATCAATCTTCAATGGCAGCTTCAAGTACAGAATACTGTAGTACCTAATTTGGAGATTACAAAAACATGGCTTATATATTTTTATCCTGGAAGCATAGCAACCGGTAGGACAAAGGTAAGGTAAAGAACCCCTGGACGGTTACGTCCAGTCGAATTTGACTATGGGATACGGTGTTCACCTCCACTTTCTTGTCATGACTGAGCTTCAATTTGTTCACCCACATTGAAGTCATCTGGACACTAATTCAGTACTTCTGTTGCCTCATCTGAATCTTATATAAAGGAGAAAGAGAGTTGAATGCTACCTCTCAAAAGATTTTATGTAGAAGAGGACAAGATAATCTCGTGGGATGCCATAGCATAAATGCCACAGCATTAAACAGTATTTCCCCAGCACCATCTTCTTGAATTGGCTCTGCAGGTATTTATTATTATTATTATTATTATTATATTATTATTAATTAATTAATTAATTAATTACTACTATTACCCATTCTTCACTCCAGGGTCCCATGGTGGGTATCACCAATATTAAAAATAGTTGAAAGCAACTTAAAATTAGAGAAACAAGGTTGGCCCTACAAATATACATCTCAAGCTAGGGTAAAGGGTTGCATCTTCAGCATTTGCCAAAAGCTGCATAATGATGGTGCCAGATGCAATTCTATGAGAAGTGAGTTCCACAACTTAGAGGCTGCTGAAAGCACCCCACCCCACCCCAGAGGTTTCTAAGGGTGGTGGAACAACCTGCGTTCTTGGCACCTGAGAAATGGAAAGAGAACCACCAGCAAAACACCATGCCATCAACTCCCTGTATAGAAAGCCTGCCCAGAAGGATTCCATGGTTGATAGTATTGAAAGAAACATAGAACTGGGAAATTAGTAGAGATGTACTCCCGATGTGCTTCTCCATAAAGGCAGTTTCCGTGTGAAAAATGGGTCAGAAACCAGAACAAATTGGTTCCAAATATTTGAAGCTGTATTTACAGTGCTCTAGATTTCTGTTTTCAGTTAGCCAAGCGCTTGTCATATACACTTTTAGTTCTAGAATGATGTAACCTTGGATTCACACCACCCCAAATGGCATTGACCCTATTTAGAGGTTTAAGAATATTCATAATGTCCAGGTTCAAGCACTAAATATGTAAGTAACCAAGCAGCTTGGATTTCTCCAGTCATGTGTAAACTGATTCAGAATCAAGAAATCAGCACTCCCATTCTGATTGATCTAGACATATACCGCTTTTTCTGAGAAATGCTGATAGCAGTACTGGGCAAATAAATAGTTTATTTCTGTACTGCCTTTTTGACAAAAAGACCCCCAAGGCAGCAGGTGGTTTATGCACAAAAACAAATTTCAAATTAAAAAATGCAGCTTAGAAAAGTTTAGGATAACAAATACATTTTTTTATAAAAAACTACAATCAAAATACATTCATAATCCTGCTAAAGGCAAAGTTTAGTTCCCACAAAAATGTCAGGGAGAGCAGGAGAAAACCCTTAGGGAGCTGCTCTTTCTTATTAAGGCCCCAGTCAAGGGGTGGGGCAGACAGATGGAAAATCTTGCCCCTTGGTGGTCCAGCACAATCTCTCCCCTGCATATTCCATGATGATTCAGAAAGTTTTGACTTGTGACCTTGAATACAACTTAACTACATGTGTCTGCTACTCCCGAGTCCCAACACAAATGAAGAAAGACTTCTAGGACTTAACTATAAGTCTCTCTCCATTCATGTTGGACTGTGAGTAACAAAAGCACACAAAGTGGTATTCAACTAAGTTTTAATCAGAGTAGACCCACTGAAATTAATGGACCTACTTAGCCATTTTTCATTCATTTCAGTTTGTCTGATCTGAGCAAAACTTAAGTTGAATATTATCCACAAGGTAAATCCAGACATGCCCTGCTTGCGCAAATGAGTGGACTCTTCGAATCCAACATGTTCCCAGTGGCAGAAGGGGAAGGGATTATTTCCTCTAAATTCGTCTTGCAGGCCCAAATGCCCCTCCCACTTACAGAAGGTTCTCTTACATTCCAGAATAGACTTTCAGAAGCAACGGGTTGCATGGAGAAGGGGGAATTCATGAAAATATGTTTTTCAAAATCATCTCCCTTCTGCCCGTGGGAGTGTCATGTAGCAGAACTCCACTGCTCTAAAGTCTGGCTCCAAGTATTTGTATAAAATCTGTTTTTATACTAATACGAACAAAAAACCCATGTATCTTCTCCACTGCATTTGTCAGTTCTCTTTCCATTTTCCATCATGCCAAGAACTTGGATAGTCCCTTCAACAGCTTTGAATCATTTTGAGGTGGTTTCTGTAGTCCCAACACTGCTGAGCAAAATGTTTTCCTGAAATAAAAGAACTATGCAACCAGTTGTATCAGCTGAAGAGTGCTTAGACTTTGTTTTTCTCAAATACCTTATGCCGCATGGCAAACTTCTTTTGAAAATGAGAGGAGTTTCGAAAGCCGTGACATTGGGGTCAGCTATTCAAACAAGGATGGAAGTCCTTTGCATGAATCTTAAGCAGCTCTTTAGATTCCAGCCATTGTACATAGTGACAAAATGAGATTTGCAAAGGCATGTATAACATCACATTCCTACACATATGAAACTCAAAATGCACAAGTACAAGATGGGGCATAATAAGCGAGAAAGCAACACTTCCAGAACGATTTTAGAATTCTAGCAGATAAAAAACTGAACAGGAGTTAGTGTTTTGGTGCTGTGGGGAAGTGGCCATTGCCATTTAGATTGTATCTATGGACAGGTGACTGCGGAAGTAATAGTACAGCTCTACTGAAAACTGGAAAGGGCTAATTTGGGCTACTGTGGTGTGTGTGTCTCCTGCTTACAGTTCTGATTCAATTTGTCTCCCAGGCAGTAAACATGGAAGTAATAGATTTGAACAAGGGCTGGTCTTCACATGCACATTCATCATTCAATTGTAACATCAAATACTGAGTTCCTTTGTGTTAATCAACCATCGTGCATCGTCACATATAGAGTTGACAACCTCTGTGGTGACAGTTCACATGCTCAGTTCAGAGTCTTCACATTATTTATTGCTCTATCACAGGCATGTCCAAAGTCCGTTCTGGGGGCGCCTAATCTGGCCCCCCAGCTGGTTTTATCCGGCCCCTGTGGCAGTTTATTTGTCGGGGTCAAATCCTTTAAAAAGCTCAACAAGTTTGGTCGGCCCCCATGCATGTTCACTTCTTCAAATCTGGCCTTTGAAAAAATTGGGCACCCCTGCTCTATCACATCTGTAGGCCACCCAAGATATTTGAGACAGCATATAAAGAGTTACTGTGCATATTATCCTCAGAGCAATCCTGCAAGGTAGGTTAGACCAAAAGAAAGTAATTTTTCAGGGAACTTCACAGGCAAGCAAAGTTTTGAACCCTGTTCATCCCAGATGGCAAGAGAAACCCTGCAAATGCTTTGGGGCTATTTGAAAGTTTTGAATATATAGAGCTAAGCCAATTCAGAGTATAACATAAATACAAATTGATGTGTGTGCATTAAGTATGTTTCATGCTTACTATCTGATTTATGCAGTGGCATTATTCTACTGTAGCATGGCACATATTCTTGGAACAAACCCTCATTAATCCTCTGTGTGAAAGCAGAATATCAGTTCATGTTAATTCTCAAATAAGCATAAGTATTTGTTACTGCCTTTGTTTTCTTGTAAGTACCAGAATAAGATATAAATCACACGAGCTAACTAAGGTTTCTGCAAAGGTGGATATTTTCTATTGCATTTTTACTTATATCACTGTGAGAGAAGAACTACCTGCATTTTTTGTAGTTTTGTTTCATATTATAGATAACAGTCATTTCTAAGTTATTTTCAAATTGTACTCATCAGACCATGTAATCTAACTTTTACCCGCCCCCCTCCAGCATTAACTACTAGTGTCCAAGAAATTCTTAATGTGGACCCTTTGGGTTGATGCATGTACAGTTGTGGGCAAAGATGCCAATTTGTAGATGAAGGAGATAGCAAGCCAAAAGAGGGGGCATGCAGTAAAGCCAAGCAGCTATTTCCAAAATGTAAAGCATTTTACTTTACTTTTTTTTTAATGCCCTGCACGATGGGACAAAATACACAGTCCTTTGCCATATTGTCTTTGCAAAGCCTGTCTGTTTGGTCATGCGCAGAAAGCAGCTAGGCAGTGAGAGTGGGATGTATTGACAAGAACAAGATGAATGACCCCCTGGAGACTGCGGGTTTGTATGCTAGTTTCCACCACCTTTTCATCCCTTTGTAACCCATTTTGGTTCACATGCAGATTAATTTTGACCAAGTCCTTACCAAATGCTCTCTTCTTTTCCAGCCACTTAGCTTTGGAAGGTAGACTGGGGAATCTAAATATTTATGAGGTCTTCTCTCTCTCTCTCTCTCTCTCTCTCTCTCTCTCTCTGGTTTATGATGCACCGTTGTTGAATGTAGAGGAATTACGTTAATGAATGCATGCCTGCACACACAGACACAGAAACCAGGCAAAGGGGGAAAACACACACAAAGCTTTGTCAGCTCTAATGTCGGCTCTTACCAAACAGTTCCCATGGAAAAAGAGAGAGAGAGGCAAACAGATTCAAAATCTTGCCAGGAGAAAAGGTTGTACAAAAGATGAACAAAGTTGCGTCTTTGCTTTCCTTGGCTATAAAAGTGCCTTGTTTCATATCGGGGAGGAGGGCGGGGGGAAGCCGAAATGAAACACATTCATATACAAATTAAAAGTTTCTTTAAAATGCTGTAACTGATTTGAGCTGCTCAGTAGCACAGAGAGAAGTCTTATATTGTGCTTGGATCAATGCAACCCCGAAACAAAAAGTTAACAAATGGCACAGATCTTGTTTGCTTATCTTCTTGCATACTTTCTTTGTCTCTGAGGATTTTGTATACAAATAAATATCAACTGGACAGGATTGTATGACATATGGTGTATGCTGATGTTCTTTCTTCCCTTGTGCAATGTTTGTGAAACTGGTCCATGCTTGACTAAGACTGTCATTCTGTATATACTTAGGAACAAGCCTCATGGAACTCAATGGCTCTTACTTCTGAGTAGACATGCATAGGATTGGGCTAGAAGCTCATGCTCTGGACACCTCCTCCCTTGACTACTGCAAGCCTCCTTTCTCAGACTTTCCCTTGTCGTGCATCAAACCTCTCCTTGCCTCAGAACTCTACTGCCAAAAATGATAAACCTTTCTAGTCACTCAAACTATAGGACACTATATTTAACTATATTTAAGTTAAAATACTTAAATTGGCTTTCCATATCACTTATGTCCACAACAAACACCTTCACCTGCAGTCCTGTCAGGCTTCCTGTGTGTATTCTCAGGTAGATAGGGAACAACTTGCAGTAACTAGTCCTGTGTACACAGTTTCTCACCTGAATCAAATGGCTGGAGCTACTTAATGGGAAACTAACCCCCCCCCCAAAAAAATAGGAGGTATTTTCTAATTTGACAGCATAACATGTTTAAAAGTGGTCTTCTATCTTTGTAATTTAATTTAAACATTTAATATGGGTTCAAAACCATATATTACAATGAAATTGCAGAATTTTACACACAGATGAATGCATTTTATTAAAATACTGGAACTGAAATATAGACTGCTTTACTTTATGGCAAAAGACTAATATTTTTAATCTTTAATTGTCACTGTCCTTCCTACCTCCACCCTTTTTATTATTTGGCCTTCACAAACTTAAGCAGAAGGTGGTACAAATTTTCTCTGTTTCCTTTCACAACAGAGCAGTAGGACATGGAATTTTAAAACATGCTGTCTGTGTTAGCATTTTAAAAATGGTTAGGCAATGGCAGAATGTTTGCTTGTTCTTTGAATACAATAGGATTTTTACTATCTAACTCCTATTTATATTTATGTCTGTTGGGATTTCAAAAACAGTTACCCTAATAAATGTGTTCCAGTTTTTATTGTGCTTTGTTTTCAAGTTGTCCAATTTGATATGTAATTGAATCCAATAAAGTGATCTACATTTCATTTGTTCAAAGGCTATCATTTATGTCAGGCTCAATATTGACACTGCCATTTACATTTACATTGCTAGGGACTTTGTGGAATGAAAATTCGCTCCGAGCTAGATCCAATGCAAAATGAACTTACTGTGCAGAGTTTGCTGCACACCAGGGGCCTGCAGTGGAACTATTGCAATGCCTGATAAGTCTTAGCAAGATGGGCAAGAACCGTTACAGTGGCCGGGTTCACACATTACACTGAGCCAATGTTAAGCCATAGTTTCTTAAAACAAATCTTGCTTAAAGCACCAGTTGCCCCACAGAGGATTAAAAAAATCAATGTACGTTCACAAGTTGTAAGTGAGGTTTGAAGATGGTGGTGCATCATTTAGCATGTAGGAGTTCAGAGTCTCTGCTGAAAGAAGTCTGCTAATATTAGGAATAAATACTAGTCAGTGCTATTACTCTTGACCCCAATGAGAAGCTGAGTATTACAAAAATAAAAATGAATAAGCAGCATGTTTGTTGGGACTATCACAGCATTGGTAGAACATGGTCCACTGATGGACCACTGGGCAACTTCAGGTGGGCCACCTGGTGCCTGCTGGTTGCTAAAACTCTTGCAAGGTGTGTTGGACAATTCCCTTGATCTGATCCAACAGATAACATCTTAGGTTCTTAAGCAAGAGTTCATTCTTGGAATCTGTTAATCCAGTTTAGCTAAGCATTAAGTGTACAGATATCATTGGTGAACTACAGGGATTCTAGATTTTTTTTTATATTATACAATCTAATTCCTGACATCATTTCATGCTTGACTTGAATTTAAACATATTTTTCTGCATTGTACTTTCCCCAATTGAAAGTTTTTATCGGTATTCTCCCATATATATATGTTTTCCTAGTTTTTCTTGAGTTGCTGAATACCAAAGAGAAGTTTGCATAAACCTCAATTTGAGCATTATTTTTCTATTAAGAAAGAATTGAGTCTTTCAAAACTACATGAGTGGAATTTGTTTGCATAAATGTAATTCCACAAATGTCAGTGCTCAGAAGCTGAGTGCTAATTATGTGATCTAATTTTGGTGATTTTTTTTAAAGAAGAAAAGTTAATGTCAGGAGTCACCCATATTTCCTTTTTACTAACGATTTATCTACCCAGTTATTAACACATTTGTATCCCACCCTTCTACAATACAGCTCACAGTCTGAATAAAATCACAATAGAACAATAGCAGCCATAAGAATTATGAAGGGAAGAGATAAAAGGACTGAGGCGGCAGCAATCAACAACAGATGTCAAATCAGGAATACACTACAGAGGAGCACATCTGAACAGGAAGGTTTTAGCTGACTTCTAGAGGGAGATTTTAAAAATGTGCTTACCCAAATATCATGCAGCACGCAGCTTCCTTAGCTTGGGTACAATTGTTAAGAAGTTATGCTCTCCTCAGGTGGTGTGGAATACAGAGTAAGGGCCCCCTCTAAAGTATGAATCTGCATGCAGGCAGAATCATATTATCAGTGGCAACCCTTCTGGTGGATTGTCTTAATTTTCACTTAGAATCACCAGGCAGAAACAAGGAACTTTTAACATTCTGATGGTGGCCAGAGAGAGAAAACATTCAGGAGACAATGTTGAGCACCTTTCGCTATGCCTGTTCAACACCACCTCCTATCTTTGTCCATATTCCTTTAAAGCACAGTGGGGAAACCTCAGATCTGGGAGTCAGATGTGTCCCTCCAGTTGTCTCGGTCTGGCTCCTCACAGACCACACAGCTCACTGGTCCTGTTTCATACTCTCCTCAAGTGTTTTTGCCTAGCCAGAATTGTTCGTGACCTGTGATAATGCTTCACACCTGCCTGAATGGAGAATGGGCAGGTATGTAAGGTGGGGGTTAGAAACGCCTGATTTCGCATGGCTGGAATGAGACCTGTTGTGTGAAAGGTCACAAGCCGTTCTACTCATATTTCCTTCTAGCCCTGCCGCCTTTGCATCCAGCCAGGCCACCCACTGGCATGTGCCCGCCCCCCGTTTCTCACCTGTGCTTTAAAGAAATAGATATGAAACAAAATACATCATATACAGTTCCTGAACCTCTTAAGCATGTCTTTATGAGCAATTGCACCCAATACTCGCAGAGCAGGGCTCCCAAGTTTTGTAAGCCCCTTACCTATCCCAAAGTACCTATCCTGCATTGTTTGATGCCCATCTCCAAATGTCTTTGAAACATTAAAAGAATATAGCAACACTTCTTATACCACCGCCTTCCTATACTAATTTCCACTACAGTTTTACAGAAGCCATTTCAAAATAATAGCACAGAATTTAATAACGCCTTCGCTAAAGCAGCGGTAGCCAATGTGCATTCCAGATGTTGTTCTATAGCTCCCATCAACACTGGCTATTGGTCATTCTGGCTGGGACTGAGGGGAGTTGGAGTCTTGAAGATACCACATTAGCTAGCTCTGTGCTAGAGCATACAAAATAGGGCTCACAACTCATACTCAGCTCTTGGTCTTGACAGAAGCTTTTACTTAACCAATCACAGGAAATACTTTGGCAAGGTAAAAAGCGATATGGCAGACCCAGCATATAAATATTTTTCTGTAGACTACTTGGAGGTTTTCTTACAATCAATCAGTACATATATGAATTTTGTTAAATAAACAAATAGAATTTGAGGATTACATATCATTGAGTATCTTTTGGGGGTCCTTTTAGAATATACTGCCACCATTTCATCTGGGCAAACATTTGTCTTGGAAGGTAAACTTTTTAAATGTCTATTTTGCTATTATGTCAGCAAAATCCAATTCAAGTGAAAGCTTCCAGACCCTCATTAAGACCCTTCAGACATAGTTAAACTCAAAGGAGCAGAAAGCATTTGCTTGGCTTTAATGTAAAATATGCAGAGCAAACCCATCCTTAATTAGACACACATGTCTTTCAAGATATCAATAAATGTTTCCTTTTTTGATAAGTGTGGTTTAATAAAATGTAATAACAAGAGAGTGAATGCACCGAAGACATAATTTAATAGAGATTAAAATTAACAGACACAAATTTGCAAACCTCAGCAGTGGCTAACAGTCCATTTATTTAAAGAAAATAGCTAAATTCCAGTTTTACTGTCAATTGGTCAAACAGGGATGGGGAAGAACTCTGGAATTTTATTGTAACTCATTTTGGAATATCAAATGGTACTTCCTCCTCTGTTTATATACCATATTCCAAGTCTATAGAAGAGTGCACCAAAATTTGATAAGTTATGTTCATTTGGCGTTCAGTTTGGAGGCTGTCACATTGCTGCTGCCTAATGTGTTCTGACTTCCTACAACTTTCCAAGGAGGTTTTGACCCAGGGGTTGCAAACCCTTTTGGGCTTAAGGACACATTGGCAAACCAACCAAAGGAACTATTGTGGGCTGCCCACACACCCCACAACTACGCACACATTGCAACGTTGTCTATCAGCTGCAATGGAATGCTTCCCCCCCCAAAAAAAAATCTAATTTCAGTGGGAGTAGAGTTGGAAGAGGAGGCCCTGTGGGCTCCAGAGAAAGCCTCTGGGCACACGGGTGCCCTGGCCCACCATATTGGCAGCCCTTGCTTGACCTATGAAATGAAAAGTAGCTTGGAAGGAACCCATATGTCTAAGAACGCTCTTCTCCTATAAAGACCACTATTTTGGATCAAGAGCACTCACTTGGCTATCAGCTGACCCTAACCTAAAGGAGAAGGGAATATGTGGACTTCTTCCATCTTCAGAAAGGATCCAGCGATAGTGGTCCAAATATGGAGTTATCATGAAATATGGATCTGTGGGCTGTGATGTTGTTTTAACAAAATGAAATAAAATACCTGCCTACTGGGTTTCTGCAAAGTTTTAAATTGGTTTCAATTCCATTTCTAATACCATTACCTTAAAAAAAGATTTTTGATTTCCCCCCCTTTCAAAACAAGTGTACCTGTCAGAAAAAAAATCAATGTTATCCTGAATAACCTGAAGTTGCCATGTGAAAAACTTGTGTTATAGAAGCCATATGGTGGTGGTGAGGATATGGAGGATAAAAAGGGTTTTAAGAAAAGGTTGCACAGAAGAAGAACATTTTTGGAACAATAGTACTTTCGTTTAAATCTCCAAAGGCAACGAAATCTACTTTTGCACAGTAGCTACAGACAAGGTGCATCTCTGAAGCAGAGGCTTTAGGAAACCTCAAGAGGAAGAAGTCAAAGCTGTATTACACATACCATCTTTTAAAAAGTATCATAGGTTCTCTAAACCGAACACTGAACTTTACTGGTGGCCTGTGTAACTCAAAGAGAACATGCACAACTTGCACCACAAACTTGATGCCATGCATTATTTTACACTAGGAAATTGACTGTGCAGATCACAGGACAGCAGTGTCAGGTAATCTTGAAGAATCTCTCAAAATCAGAGGCGTACAAAAGGGGAGTCATGTACCTTCCGGAAATGCTTAATTCCCATGCAGACTTTTCTTCAGTCTCATTCTTCACATTGACAAACTGATACTGTGTGTGTGTACCAATGCAACATTTAGGATTGTTGGAGGGACAATTTTCTTCCCGCTCTCTCATATTTCAGAAATGAGGCATCAGAAATATCTGTATCTCTGTGGGCCACTTAGTAGTTTACAGATGGAGTTACCATTTTTAGATTTACGTAAATGTTTATATAAATACCAGATGTGTTTGCCAAAGGATGTGTGGATGACCTCAATATACTCAGGTTTCTTTTCAGATCATATAAATATTTCACCTTTTTACTCAATATGAGCTAAAAAAAACCCACTACCGCAACCCATCCTATTACAATTCACAGCTTCTTTGCCATTGAATCTTGAACATATCCAAGCTCAGGTCTTTGAGCCTTACAGTAAATTAATCCTCCCTCAAAAAATGAAAAAGTAAAGTGAGAAACAGCCTTCGATCATATTCTGTTTTGCTGAGTCTTACCCCTATCATGAACTTACCTTGTGGTCTTAGGCAAGTTAATC